AGCCACGAGGAACCCGAGAACGGGCTCCTACAAAACCCTACACCCGAACCCCCAGACCAGAACCTGGCCCCTTCTGCCCTACATCGGAACCCCCAGACCAGAACCTGGCCTCCTTCTACTGAGCAAGGGACAGGACAAGGACTATGAACACCAATGAGGAACCAAGAGGCCAGCCTTTAAAGTAAAACTCAGACAGTTCAAAGCCAAGGAGGCACAAGGAACCTTCAACCCCAAAGATGCTAGGCTTCCCTGATCCAGGGAAAGGACCAGAGTGGTGCACAGTCATTTCCACCACCCAGCACACACACACACACACACACACACACACACACACACACACACCGCCCAGCTGTAAATTCTTCACTGAAGAAGGCATGGAAGGTGCACAAGGACATGAGCTTTGCAGCCAGCGTCTGTCTCCAGGGGGCTGGAGAAGCTGTTGAGGCGATGTGGGCACTCCACTTGGGGGACAATGGCAGGTGGGCAGAAGAACCCAGGCCCAGGGCTACTGAGACAGCCCCAGTGCTGTGCATTAATTACGCTGCCTTCTTCTGAACCTGCCAGTTCAGAATTCAGAGTGTGACAGGGCCCAGGCCAGAGCACAGGGAGGGGACTTGATGGCTTTAGGTGTCCTCCTGGGAGGAAGGGCCATTTGGCAACACCGCCTGTCTCTCTGTGACAACTGGAAGGCTAGGAGCTGGATTCAGAAATAGCAGCAAAAACCTGGCCAGCACAGAGCAGGGAGCCTGGGGGAGTACCTTTTCTAGAACACTACCTCTTCATAGTTGCCAAACTGGAGGTACTGACAAACTAGGGAACTTGCCCAGGTCCCTCACAGCACCAGGAGAAGCAGGGTGGGACTGCAGGCAATGCCCGGGTCCCTCACAGCACCAGGAGAAGCAGATTTGGACCGCAGACACTGCCCGGGTCCCTCACAGCACCAGAAGCAGGGTGGGACCACAGACACTGCCCTCCTACTTCCCACAAGCTTCAGAGGTTGGGGAAGGGGGACAGGTGCTCCAGGCTATAGAGACAAAAAGGCAAAACCAAAAGCAAGTTCTATCCCCTGTGACTACCAGGCAAGTGCTCACAGCCTGATCCAGCAACTAACCAAGCCTTACACCAGCAAAGCCAACTCCTAATGGCCAGTCCTAGGCAGGGCACACAGTGGCATAAAAATTACTATCCAACAGGACAGTGAGCTATCCACCTTTCACTTATTCACATATGACCCCACACAGACAGCTCAGGAACAAAGCCAGACAGGTGACTTCTAACTGGTATAAAATCAGCCCATTCCCTCTCAGGGATACATTCTCTGTCTGAGAATTTGCTTGCTGTGTGTCTGTCCCCTATATCTATTTTTTTTTTAACTTTTTTAGATTTATTTTCTTGTGTATGGAAATTTTTGTCTGCATGTATGTATGCATACCACATATACCACATTCACATTTGTGACTCAGAGGTCAGAAGAGGGTGACGGATTCCCTGAAACTGGAGTTCCGAATGGTTGTGAGCCTACATGTGGGTGTCAGGAAACAACTCGAGCCATGCCCCAGCCCCCAGTGGCTAGTCCGTATTAAAACTTTTATACCAATTCAGATCTGGTAAATATTTTAGCCCTACAGTTTGGCTGCCCCTCCTCTGATAGGCCTGTAGTGGTATTTGCTCCACCCATGATCTTGGGCTTTACAGACTGAAAGAGGCGTGCTTCTTTCTGTTGTACAGACCTCTTAAAAGGAAAGGAAGACGAGTCATGAGGTCCCTTCTCCCTGCTGCCTGCTTCCTGGTGTGATCGAACTGCCAGGTGGATTTGCTCCTGGTCAGATCAGAGGACGACTTCAGCTGTTCCTCGGTTCTGTATTTGTGAGTGCATTTCCTCAATTTATCCTAATAAATTTCCCTAATACTCCTTAAGCAGACTCCCATGGATTTCTCGAATGACAGGATCCCCTTGCACTTTCTTCCAAGCAGCTGAACAGGGCAAGTCCCTGGCCCCACCCCAGCAGCAGAGGCTCTCACAGGGACAGGCTGGCAGAAGCCCCGAACCCCGGCAAGCTGAGTCTCCTTGAGAGACTCTAGTAAAGGGTAGAGTGAGGGCCCCACAGGCCCCATGAACCCCAAATCATCGTGACGGCAGCATGGGTCTAATGATGCCCAAGATGCATTGTGCTGAGGTACCCCTGCTGCCTGCCCTGTGAGGCTCGAAGGACTGGCCAGGCAGAGGGTCTAGTCTCCAGCCACGGCACCAGCTGGCATGTAGGCACCTCAGCTGGAACAAAGCTGCAGTGTTATTGCTCAGGAGGGAACGGGTGACACTGTGTGGCTCCAGGGATGGGCAGGAGGTCCTGAGGGTGATCAGCTCACACACACAGGAGAGGTGGTGGTTAAGGGGAGAGGTGCTCGGGAAGACGGCAAAGTCCTGAAGGTGGTCGCTGAGGACGTTGGCCCAGGACACTGGGTGGTCACGAGATAGGCCAAACTGTCAAATCATCATGCTGTAACTGTTCTGTCACAGTTATTCCCCAGAGCCTAGGACTCCCGTCAACCCTGTGTGTCAGGCCTGGGGAACCCTGGAGGGTGGAGCTAAGAAAACAAATACCAGCTACCCAGCCCCTCCCCCACCGGGAGCTGTCAGCAGGGTGTCCCTCAGGGAGGCCAGGTCATAGCCAACACAGGCTGGCCTCCTTGAGTCCTGTCTGTAAGCCTCCTGGATGACCAGCAGGTACTTCAGTATCCGACCTCATGCTCTCCTTGGAGAGTGACTCATCCCACCCATGCCACCTGCAATGGGTGGAGAGCCTGGGTACCCTTTCCTTGAGCAGGAAGGAGACCCACCATTGCCATTCCGGACACACACCTCAATTCACACATGTGCACAGACAAAGACACACGCACTCACATGTGCAAACATGCACACATACTCACCAGTTACGGGCATGCAGTCCTAATCTTTCTTCATTACGAACCACATGCCCTTCATGGAAACTTGGAAAATGCACAAAATAAAAAACTCACTGCCCAGCAGTTCACTCGCACCCTCAAGGGAGCCATCCAGTATTCCAGTATCCAAGTTCAACTCCTACTTGGGTCCTGGGACTTGGGAGAGGGGAGGTGTGGGGAGCTTAATTTCTGAAGGAATCTCACAGGATACCCATACCCTGCAGCCCACAGACAACCACAGACACACAGCACTTGAAGCCCTCACCCTCACAAAGCCATTTCTGCACCATTAGGGACCTCACAGGAACCCCATCTTTACCCATAGCCCACCCGCTAATGCCCAAGCATCTGGGAGCTTCTTGAGTCCCTGTGGAGGCTGCTCCAGCCTTGGAAGCCTGAGCTTGCAGGAGGGAGGGAGCGGAGTCCTCACATCTAGTTTCTGTTTCCTTCTTTCTGACCACGCTGTGCTGAGGATAAACCCAAGCTTCCTGCACACTGGCTAGCACTCCGCCCTAAGCTGTGCATACCTCTGTTTCAGTTTCCAATCCGGGAAACAGTCACAGCCCAGGGTGAGGATGTAAGGCCATGGCCAAGCCAGGCTCAGCTGCCCTTTCTACCTATACAGACGAAACTTCCTGCCCCTTCCTCCACCACTCTCCAGGAGCCAGGACAGCCTGGTGAGGGGTCAAGCGTAAGACATGATGGCATGTTGCAGAAATGCCACACACCCTCGCTCTCAGACACATCTCCTGGCAAATACATATTGTCAATAAACTCACCCAAAAGAAAAGAACCAAGAAAGGGGCAACCGTCAAATCGCAGAAGGTACATGAGAACACGTCCCACAGCTTCATGATAATAATTAGCTATAAACCAGCCCATCTACAAACCTGTGAGCAGGGACTCCTCCAAGGGGCCACACCAGCACCCCAAGGCTTCCTCCACACTGAAGCCAGTGAGACCTGAACCGCGGGACACAAGCTGCACAGGGTTCAAATTCTGACTATGTAACTGGGTAAGTTCCCTCTTACCAGCCTGGCCAGGGCTTCTCTGTGTAGCCCTAGCTGTCCTGGAACTCACTCTGTAGACCAGGATGGCCTTGAACTCACAGAAAT